CCCCTAGGGAAGGGGGAACCTCGATATAAGCCTAACATTTATGGATACACTCTGGCTGCCTGTCCCCTACACAACAAATTATTAGTTTGAATTAAAATGGCTTCCAGAACTGAAAAACAAGAGTTATGAGGAGAGGCTTCACACATTAAATATGCCAAAGCTAGAAGAGAGAAGAAAAAGAGGTGATATGATCACCACTTACAAAATATAAACAGGAATCAACCAAATTGACAAAGAGGAATTTCTGAAACCAGCATCTTCAAGAATAAGGGGTCACAGATTCAAGCTATGGAAAGAATGGTACCAAAAAAATATTAGAAAGTTGTTTTTCAAACAGAGTGGTAGATGGTTAGAACAAGCTAAGTGAGAAGGTGGTGGAGGCCAAAACGGTCAGAAGTTTCAAAGCGTTATAGGACAAAAAGTACTGGGAAGACGGTACACCACGAGTGTAACTCTCATCCTGTAACTACACTTAGGTAATTACACACACACACTTGAACCACTAGTGTTATGTTAGCACACACTGCCCCAGTCAACAGTGTACTATGATCACACCCATAAAAAAAATCCACTTTGTTCCCAAAGTTCTAACAGATCAAGGTAATTTTAAATGAATGTGTTGGTGCAACTAGTGTGAGTGGTAGACTAGTTGTGAGTTTGTTTTCCTTCGTGCTTGCCACCCCTAGCTGTTGGCATAAGTCGACACATTTCTTATGTTTATACCTTCACCTATTTCTCTGCTATTGCTGTTGTATAGCAGCCAGGCAGGCAGTCAAATGGGAGTGTCAGGGGGTAGGGAATGGGAGGGAGGGGCCTTGAGGGAAGAGACTGGGTGTGAGGAAAGTAAGGAGGGGAGAACAGAGAGGGAGGGAGGTAGGGGAGAGGATGAGCCAACTAGCAACTTCTTTTCTATTGTCAGACAGGCAGCCAGCCAGCCTGTTGGGTGTTTGTCAGGAGTTGGCTGGTTGGTCGGTGGGGTGGGTTGGTGCTTTACCTATCAGTGACTACAGGAAAGTGAGAGCTATGCCCTGCCTCCTAGCCGTTCATACGTAGAACGCTAATTACCCCTCTCAACATTAACATTTTCATCATATTTTATTTTAAAGTTGTGGATGAAATTCATTTCAACAACCTCTTCCTTCAGTGCCTTCACTTGCCTATAATCTATACAGGGAACAAGAACTTCTTTACATTTCTGACTCAATTACATGTCCAGTTCCCACCTATGTCCCTTTGTCCTACCTCTTTTTAATTTAAATAGGCTACCTTTATCTACTTTATCTATTCTCTTAAAACTTTGTATATAGTTATCATAGTCCCTCTGTTTCTTCTCTAAGGTTGTGTGGCTGAGTTCTCTCAACCTGTCTTCATAGCAGAGGCCTCTCAATTCTAGTACTCATCTAGTTACAAACCTGTGAATTTTCTCAAAGTTTCTGCTTTTGCTTCACACGCTAAGAGTTCCATGCTGGAGCTGCATACTCAAACAATAGTCACACATAGGTAGTGTGTATGAACTTAAAATCCTCCTTGTTTAGATTTTTAAACGACATTCTTATGTTTGCTAACTTCCCATATGCTGCTGATATTAGCCTGTTCACATGAGCTTCTGCTGTTAGTGTTTGGCTTAAGTCTACTCCCAGGTCTATTTCTCTTATTGTTCCTGCCTTCCCTTTATGGTAGAGTATAGTTAAATACAGGTCTTTTATCTTGTTTACCCATTTTCATTACTTTGCACTTGTTTGGACTGAATTCCAGTAGCCATTTATTTGCCAACTCCTGAAGTTTGTTAAGGTGGTAGTGAAGAGAGAAGCACTCTCTTCACTTCGTACTCTCCTCATTAACTTTGCATCATCTGCAAACATTGAGAAGTATGTGCTCACTTCCTCTATGAGGTCATGTATATAAATCAAAAACAGCACTGGCCCTAGGACAGAGCCCTGTGGAACACCACTTTCCAGCCTGACATATCTTCTGAATACTGTATGACCTTTTGTTTCCTGTCCATCAAGTACTCCCATATCCAATCATGTTATCCTCGCTTTTCTCTCCTTGTGTATTAGTCTTTTGTGAGGAACTGTATCAAAAGCTTTGTGGTGGTTTAGGAAGATGGACCTTACCCATCCTTCATTCTCATGTCTTATTTTGGTGATCCTGTCATAGAATTCAATCAAGTTTGTTAAGCATGATTTTCTTTTTCTCTGAAAGTGTGATGTGCCTATTAAAAAACTTGCTCCCTCAATGTTCTACAATCCCTTTTCTGATGACTTTTTCTAGAATCTTGCATGGAATGCATGTTAATGAGACTGGTCCTACTGTTTTTGTTACATCCAGTTCCTCAGCTGTCTTTTTACCTATTCTACATTAGCTTCAATTCTGTCTAGTGTTGTCACCCCTACTTGGTCACCAATCTGGTTCAGGTTTGAAGATTTCCTGGAACATCTTGTCGAGTTCTTCACGCACTGCTTTGTCATTCTCCAAGAGTGATAATCTCTGTCCCTGCTATCTAATCACATGGTCTCTTACCTTGTTTTACTGCATATATGGCTGTGCAATAGCTTACGTTGACTCTCTGCTTTTGCCACAATGTCATTTTCAAACTGCTTCTGTGCTGCCTTCCTGTACTCATTCCTGTTCTCTGTTTACTGCCTCCTTATTTACCTCCATAGCCATGTCACTATACTGTACTGTTAACATGTCTTTTCTGTCTTCTTTTACTCCTTAGATCTTTGCTTTGGCTCTTCTTGTCAATGTGGCTGCCTTTTCTATTATCTTCAGGTAAGTTTCATTGGATTTATCAGATTTCTCCTTTGACCTTTCTGCAGTTTATGGAGGGCTATAAATTACACCTACCACTATCTACATTGTTCTCATTGTTATCATACTTAGTATAAAATCATTCTGGTCAATTACCTCCAGAATCTCTATCTACTCCAAGCTCCAATGTTGCTGTATGAGTAGGACTACTACTACTATTTTCTTCCACCCACTGTTTATTCTTTCTTTTCTTACTACCTGTTATCATCTTGGGAAGATTGCATCTTCAATTATTTTCATTAGTTTTGTCTCTGTAACTGTGAATATGTGAGAATGCAGTTCTGCCACCTGTTCTTCCAACTCTACTCCTTTATTTGTAATGCCATCTATACTTGTGTACAAATTTTTATAATACTGTACTCATATCTACCAAGCTGCTTTTGAGGCAAGGGAGGAAGTCTCCTGTTGGGCTAGTCCCATTCCTTGCAGCGGGTGGCATTTGTGAGTATTGGCCTAGTCACACTCATTCCACTGAGTTCTATTCTCTCCATTGTGATTAGGCCTAATTTCTTGCTGTGTCTGATTATGCTCTTGCCCTAGTCTTATTTCTTATTCCCTCCCAACTTCATTTCCTGTCCCTCTTAACATTTCCTCTTACTTTTTCTCTCTATTTCTCTTGGCTTCCTCTCATCCTTCATTACTTATGTTCTGGTCAATAAATGCCTGGCTGTATCTCTTTTCCCCCCATCCCATAATCTTCTCTTCTCTGCCATTACTACATACTTCACTGGTGGATGGATGTCGCAAGTGGGAGGGTTGGCGAGTGTTGTGAATGAGTGGTAAAGTGGGTGTTGGGAGTGGTTTGGTGGGCGTCTGGAGTGGGTGGGATGATGGGCGGTTTCAGGAGTGGGAGGAATAGTGGTTGTCAGGAGTGGGAGGAATAGTGGGTGTCAGGAGTGGGAGGAATAGTGGGTGTCAGGAGTGGGAGGAATAGTGGGTGTCAGGAGTGGGAGGAATAGTGGGTGTCAGGAGTGGGAGGAATAGTGGGTGTCAGGAGTGGGAGGAATAGTGGGTGTCAGGAGTGGGTTGGTTGCTGGGTCAGTGTTGGAAGTGGGTGGGATGGAAAGTGCTTGTTTGTATTGTCTTTATGGGAGTGGTGTTATTGGGGAGATGGCAATGTAGAGTGGCAGCTCTCAAGTTTTCAGCAACCCACAAATTCTCACAATTTGAACAAGATCAAATCATGTTTACTCTGTTGGTGGGGTGAGGTCAGAGTGCTGGTGATGAAAGGATGGTGAGAGGTATTTACTTGTGCTTCAGATTACAAATGGCCAACTCCCAACACAATACACAGATGTATTTTTATCTATTTATTCATGCAATTAAAGTTCTTCACTTTTCAAAAAACAACCAACTTTGACAAGAATAACTCCATCATTCAAGATAAATAATATGCTGTGTTTTTATATTAAATGTCCCAAAAATATTGGTTTTGTGAGGATTTTTGGTGGTCTGGGAACAGATCCCCTCATTGATAGCATTGTTCCTATGGGAAATCTCATCCATGTTCCGAGCAAATGTTTTACAAACATCTTTTCAGAACTTAACCCATTAACCTTAACTTTAAAGGTTACCTAACTAACCTTACTAACCTTAACCAGAACTTTTCATTAACCTTAACCAATTCATAGTTGGGGGCCTCCCTGTAATTCAAACGATAAGTCTACTAATACGTTAACACTTAAAAAAGTTGAAAATTAGTTAAAATTTTAGGTATACTGTATTTCAAATAATACAGATTATATTCTAATTAACAAATCATATACTAACAACAATACAGTATATCTGTTATTTAAACTCCATTAACATTTGAGTCTTTATAAAAAGCAGAGAAAGTTTGGGCATATCAAAAGACGGAATGTCAGTTGACTTGTCTGATGGGATTTTGTTTACTCACATACTTAATTCCAACCCTTAAGATGTTTGTAAGAGAAAGTAAAGTATATAGTAAACTTTAAATGTCTGAAATATATGAATAGGCAGTAGAAGGCGGCTACAATTTTTATAAAATATTTCTTAATAACTTGACTTGTATCATTTATGACATTATAGTTCAAATGTCTGATTATCAATAACATAAGAAAAAAAAATTTGTCACATGGAATTTAGGCAATAAACACTAGCATCGGCTGTTAGCAGTTGCACACTGAAAGCTCTCAGCGAGCATGACTAACAGAATTACTTACTTGAGGTGATGCAGGTGGGGTATTTCCTGGGCTACTGTTATCACCACCTGTACCTGCTACAGCTGTGGTTATAATTTCTGGAGGCATTTCCTTGCTGTCCCGGCTATCTTTGCCATCAGTTTTTTGAGAATCTCTGTACCGAAGGCCCGCAGCATCACAAACGGTTTCTTGTTCACATTTTACCATACACTTTTTATGGCAAATTATCCCACATTCTCCACATTGGTATGCATCTTTCAACCAGATCTAAAAATAAACAAATTAATACAGTTATTACTATTTAGACTTGTACAGAAAAAGGCATTCCATTTTTATTTAAATATTAAATAAAATGAAAAACAAAATGTGGGTGATGATACATTTAAAACTCTAGATAAATTATATCACACTTGTTTGTGATGGGATTTTTGAGTTACATGTTTATTAATAGACAAGAGTTTTTACTTTTTTGTAAAGCCACTAGCACGCGTAGCATTTCAGGCAGGTCTTTAATCCTAATTTTTCATGGAATACGACCCCGCTGAATCATTTAACAACCAGATCCTCATTCACTGCTGGGTGAACAGAGGCTACAGTTAAGGACTGGTGCCCGGTCAATTTTCCCCGGCCAGGATACAAACCCAAGCCAAAGCGCTCGCAAAACGCCAGGCATGTGTCTTACCACTGCACCATGGGGACTGCTAAATTTGATTGTATTTGAAAGGGTAATGTGACTTGGCATGATGTGATATTTGCTTAATAAAACATAGTAGACTCGGGTAACTGTCAGAAGAACATAAGTTGAACATTACAAGAATATGGAAAGTTCGTGGCAGAAATTTATGGTACATAAACTATAAAGAAAATGAAATGGAGAAAGCAGAGACTCTTACCTTTTGAGTGGAAGCAGAGAAGTGACTATTCCAGAGTTTGGGCTACTGAAATGCACTAATTGAGAGTGGTATGTGATACAAGACTGTGAGCAGATATATAACACAGGTAAGAAAGAGTGGAATAATTAGTTAGGCTGAGTACAAAGTGAGCTGTGAAGCATATTAAGGCTTGTATGAGATGTTGAGGAGGAAGAATATTGGAGCAGTAAAAGGAAATATAATGACTGAACATCTGCCAGTATGTGAGAGTTAGGTTTGGGGAATGTAGGGTTTTCTATACGTCATCATTGCATGTTTTTATTATATAGTTTAAAATTTAAGAGTCCTCCAACACAGTGTATTTTGTCATCCATATTTACAAATACAATAAGAAAATAATATAGACAAGAGTTAATGAGGGTTAAAATATACTCTAATTCAAATATAGCAACAGTAAGAAGAGAAGACAGAGCACAAAATACACACAAAATGTAGATAATTTCAAGAGTAAATACAACAAATGGTATATGCTAGATGGGACACCATGAGCTTCAATCATCCTTTAAACCATAAATAGGAAATCAGATAAAATTTATGTACCTTCTTCTTACAAAAGTCACACTGCGTGGCTGAATTAAAATGAGTTCTCTTGAAATCATGGTTGCGATCCTCTACAATCTCTTGCACACTTAAAATATCATCTTCTTCAGAAACTGTTCCATCAGTGAAACTTTCATCTTCTGAGATTGCTGTTTTTTCAACAGTTCCCTTTCCAGTGGCTTCACATCTGGGTAAAGATACAATATTTAAATACCTGAACTTATCTAAACTCAAAACAGATTTTGTTTTAATGTACAATAGGGAAATGTGTTAGAGAGAGAAGAGGTTAGCACTGCATTATGTTTGCATTTGGATGAGAATGGGGCAGTGAAATCTTTTTTATTTCTCATTGGTGCGAACAGGAAGCTTGTTAGGCTTATTAAGGTCATCTTAGGTAAACCACTGACATCTTCCCAAGAAGTAATCTACAATAGTTACCTAACTGCCAGGTACTAAATGTTTTGCAATCACAGGAATCAACCTAAGATTGCATGCATTACAGATCAACTTTTAATCCCTCACTGAGCAGTGGATTGGTACAGGTGAGACCTAGTCCCAGAGTTCCTTCCACCCTTGAATAGAAGAAAGAAAGTTGGGGAGGCAGTATATTCACCTAGTTGTGTTTGCGGGGGTTGAGCTTTGCTCTTTCGGCCCGCCTCTCAACTGTCAATCAACTTTACTAACTACTTTTTTTTTTCCCACACCACACACACACACACACACACACACACCCCAGGAAGCAGCCCGTGACAGCTGACTAACTCCCAGATACCTATTTACTGCTAGGTAACAGGGGCATTAAGGGTGAAAGAAACTTTGCCTATTTGTTTCTGCCTCGTGCGGGAATCGAACCTGCGCCACAGAATTACGAGTCCTGCGTGCTATCCACCAGGCTACGAGGCCCCCAAGTGTGTGTGTGTGTGTGTGTATGTGAGTAGTGAGCCACAGGATGAGCAAGGGCTGAGAGCTGGAGTAATAATAATGATTCTTGTCTGAGTTACTCTTGCCTGAGGATTTAGATGTTGGTCTCTTTGGGGTCATAATATTCAGGAAATTCATGTGGGTCAGTAAACAGTTTGGGAGCCATTTCCTGCTGCTGCTGTGAACTTAGGGGTGTGCCAAACTGGATACACTAATATAGATGGAGTGAGATCAAAGATACTGGAGTTAAATGAAGTAATACACTTGCAGATGCCAGACATTGTTGCACTCAAGGTGACAAAACTTGAAGATGATATTTCAAATGAGACCATATCCCCAAGGGGCTACTCAGTATGGAGGCAGGACATAAAATTAAGAAAGGTGGAGGTGTTGCCGTGCTGGTGAAAGAACCCCTAAAGTTAATGAAACAAAGATTGCTAATCTACGAGAAGTTGACATGACAGCACTGGAGATCTGCAATCAGGATGATAAACTAATAATCATAAATGCATACAGTCCACAGCCATGTAACACATGGACAAAGGAGGAGCTGGATAATAAAAAAGAGGGTCTTAGAACAATAATGAGTGAGATTATAGCGAGAGCTGATGAAGGTAGATCACGACTGTTTGTAGTTGGCGACTTCAACTTGAAATCCATTGACTGGGAGGCACATGAAGCAAGAACAGAGGACCTTTGGACCTGTAGATTCGTAAACCTCATCCTGGAAATATTCATGTATCAACACATTAAATAAGCTACAAGGATGAGGGAAGGGAATGTTCCCTCTATGCTGGATTTAATATTCACCAGGAAAGAGGAAGAGATATTTGACATTCAGTACCTTCCTCCCTTGGGTAAAAGTGACAGGTCTTTTGGGGAATAAAGTATGCACTGCATAATAATTTAGAAGGAAATGAAGTTGAAGCAGTTTTAAAACCTGATTTCAGGAGAAGGCATTATGGAGAACTAAGAAATTTCTTTAAGGAATTTGACAGGAAAGATTTGCTGTAAGGCAAGGAAGTAAATGAGATGTAAGTCAAGTTTTGTGAAGTATATGATAAAGGCACAACAAAATTTATCCCTAAGCAGAGATGCAGAACTAGGAAACAGGATTGGTTCAACAGAAATTGCACGACGGCCATAGATCAAGACACAAAAATGGAATCAATATAGCAAGAGGCCAAACCCCCAAACATACCAGCGATACAAAGAAGCGAGAAACAACAACACAGCGGTGAGGAGAGAGGAAGAAAGAAGTTTTGAGAAAGGAATAGTAGACAAATGTAAAATAAATCCAGGCCTTTTCTATAAATTCATCAACAGCAAATTACATGTAAAGGATAATATTCAGAGGTTGAAAATGGGAAACAGATTCACAGAGAGTGTAAAGGAAATGTGTGAAACATTAAACAAACAGTTCCCAAGTGTGTTTGTACAAAACTAAATCTTCAGAAAACTAGACACAATAAGAATTCCAGAGAACAACATACAGGTGTCTAGAGACAAAGTGAACAAATGCTCAAGGAGCTAAGAAAGAACAAAGCAGTTCGCCCAGATGGAGTTTCACCATGGGTTCCGAAAAAATGAGCACCCAAGCTCAGCATTCCACTTCAACCGATTTTTCAGGCATCCCTGTGTACAGGAGTCCTAGCAGATATGTGGAAAAAGGCTAACATAGTTTCAATCTACAAAAGTGGCAGCAGGGATGACCCCCCCCTCAATTAGAGACCTGTATTATTGATAAGTGTAATAGTCAAAATATTGAAAAAAAATAATTAAAACTAAATGGGTAGAACACCTGGAGAAAAACGATATAATATCAGACCAACAGTATGGTTTTCGATCTGGAAGATACTATGTAACGAATTTGCTTAGTTTCTATGATCGAGCCACAGAGATTTTACAGGAAAGAGATGGTTGGGTTGACTGCATCTCTCTGGAACTAAAAAAGGCTTTTGACAGAATTCCACAAAAAGAGGTTGTTCTGGAAACTGGAACATATAAGAGTGTCAGGTAGGCTTCTAACATGGATGAAAATTGTAATAACTGAAAGAAAAATAAGGGCAGTAATCAGAGGCAATATATCGAACTGGAGAAATGACACAAATGGAGTACCACAGTGTTCAGTTCAATCCCTGAATCTACCAGATGGAATACAGAATTATATGAACATGTTTGCTGATTATACTAAGATACTAGGGAAGATAAGAAATTTAGATGATTGTTATGCCCATCAAAAAGACCTGTACAAAGTAAGTGTACGGAGCACCACTTGCCAAATTGAATTTAATGTGAATAAAAGTCGTGTTATGAAATGTGGAATAGGAGAACATAAACCCCACACAACCTATATATTATGTAAGAAATCTTTAAAGAATTCTGTTACAGAAAGAGACCTAGGAGTGGTTTTAGACAAAACTATCACCTGAGGACCACATTAAGAACATCGTGCAAGGAGCCTATGCTACACTTTCTAACTTCAGAATTGCTTTTAATTACATGGATGGAGAAATACTAAAGAAATTGTTCACAATATTTGTTGGACCAAAGCTGGAATATGAAGTGGTTGTATGGTGCACATATCTCAAGAAGCACATCAACAAACTGGAAAAGGTGCAAAACCATGCAACTAAATGGCTCCCAGAACTGAAGGACAAGAGGTACAAGGAGAGGTTACAGGCATTAAATATGCCAAAACTAGAAGTTAGAAGAAAAAGAGGTGATATGATCACTACCTACAAAATAATAATGGGAATCGATAAAATTTATGGAGAAGAATTTCTGAGACCTGGAACTTCAAGAACAAGAGGTCATAGATTTAAACTAACTAAACAAAGCTGCCAAAGAAATATAAGAAAATTCACTTTCAGAAACCGAATAGCAGATGGTTGGAACAAGTTAGGTGAAAAGGTGGTGGAGGCCAAGACCGTCAGTAGTTTCAAAGTGTTATATGACAAAGAGTACCGGAAAGACAGGACACCATGAGCGTTGTTCTCATCTTGTAACTACACTTAGGTAATTACACTGTAATGTTTGTTATTTATCAGGCCTGTGCCACATATATTATGGATCTCTCCCATTATACTCTAATGAATAAACTAACAATGTAGAATAAAGTACACCTTTCAGTATTTCAATTATAATGTTCTTGTAAAATTAGAAATGTAATTAAAGGATCCTATTGAAACGTGAAAAGAAAAGGAAAGGGATTTAACTATGGTGGAAAATACATAAATGTTAAGTAATACAGGGAGTGTTACTGATTATTGGAGAAACAAATACAGTAGTAATTGTCAGTGGGATAGAGACATCACAATACAACAATTCAGAATGGGTAAAGGAAAAATGCATACTGTGTATTAAATCAATCTATAATAAACATTTCTTATAATTATGTCATTGTCTAAATAACTAAATAGGCTTTGAGAGAATATGAAATGTGTATTTCTGAGCAGAATTATATGATCATCATATAAAACACAATTCCACAAAGAATGACATCCACAGTATTGGCACCACAGGGAACTTTTAAAACATCCTTGCAGGGGTCATAATGGTACTAGGGATCACTGGAGAATACCATCCAGCTAAATTGCTGAAAAAGCATTTAAAAGCCTTCTTTGGCACCAGTTAGATCCCTTAGGAGCATGTCTGTAAACTGCAGATTGGTTTATCAGCCACCAACCTCTCCAGCTTCCAGACTGCAACATCTGCACCATAACACAGTCCACCTCATCGAGCACTCTGACGTTATTCCAGATGTATAAAACCTGCGCTGAATGTAATGAAACGCCATTTACTGGGTGAGCCCAGGAGGCTCCCTGGAGCTATCCGGCTAATATGCAAATTATTAGACTGGGGAATTAGTCTATGGAGTTCAGCCTACCGGGGACCACAAGCCAGAACCTGGCCCCCCTCAGAGAGGCACAGGGAGTAATGGCCCTTGAAAACCCCTATATGGTTGGGGGGTTTTCCTTATCTGCCATTGACTGAGGTTAGGCACCCAGAAAGGTAAGCATAACAAAACAACCAGCGTTGAATGTAATGAAACACCATTTTCTGGGTGAAACCCGAATGCTCCCAGGAGCTATCCAGGCTGATATGTGTATCATTAGACTTTGGCATAAGTCAGTAGGAATGGAGTTCCAGGCCTACCGGGGACCACAAGCCAGACCCTAGCCCCCCCTCAGAGAGGCATGAGGAGCAATGGCCTATAGAAATGCACATGGAATTTGGAGCATTATATGTCTGCCATTGACCGGGCCAGGCACCCAGAAAAGTAAGCGCCTCAAAACAAACCCCTCTTCTGGTTAAAACAACTACAATAAACAAACGAGTGGACAGAACTCCCCAAATGAAAACGAGCAAATGAGCATGATATCACACGAGCTACGCCGCATGTCTGTGCAGCTTCCCCCTCCCTGGGAGGGGAAATTGGAAGCCCCAGACCCACAGCACCAGCGATCCATCCTTTAGTTCGAGGCTCAATGTCAAAACACGCAAAAAATTGCCGACTGGGAGGAGTGGGGGCTGTGGGGAGCCTCCAGGTCTCACCCAGAAAATGTCATTTCATTACATTCAATGCTGGTTTTCTGGGAGGATCCCCTTCGGCACCCCAGAGCTACATTACCATAGACAAAAACTAGAGGGACTTACCCGGGAGGCGGTCGGTGCTCTCACCTCAACTCTAAGTCGAGACAGGCTGCAGCCACCGTTCCAAAGTGACACAGGCTCAACTAGGCCTAGGAACATTTATGACGTAGTGTGCAGCCAGGACCCTGTTCGACCACCGAAAACCCCGTGCCTGAATGTCAGCCCAGGGTATGTTACCGAAGACGGCAGCCAACGCAGCAAACTTACGAACATCATGGGCACAGGTGAAAAAACCGTGCAAACCGAATAACTGTGCAAACAACCTGAGAGACCTGAACCCTAGAACAGGGAAGAAGGGAAACTGGATCAACCCAAAGCGCGTCCCCAGTCACAGAGGCCGCGGCGCACAAAAAAAAGCAGAGATCCGCAACCAAACACAATACATGATGCACCCCTGGCCTGACCAACCAAACATCAATAACCCAAGGACCCCTCCGGAAAGCAGCCATCTCATTCTTCGCCAGAAAAGGAGACAGCTGCAAATGAACGAACCTATCACTTTGACCAAAAGAGCATAAACCCCGGCACCAGAGGAGAGCATGAAGCTCCTAAACCCAACCCCCAGAGGCCAATGCCAACAAGAAAAGAGCCTTAGAAAAACAATCCTAAACCAAAGGGGCCACAACAAATGGAGGAGAAGACAAATAGGAGAGCAGTCTGTCCAAAGACCAGTACGGCTCAGGCAGTGCATGGGCAGGGCGGAGGCAAAACAACGCCTGAGCTTGCGAAATGGTGCAGACGTAACATCAATACCGAAAGTAAGCTGCAGTGGCACCGCCAATGCCGCACAATACGGCAATAGTATTCGGCATAAGATGACGGTCCTGAAACAGCCACGAGAGAAAGGACAAAACAACCTTAACCAAAAGTGAAATACAGCGACGGAGAGACAAAAAGAACCGGAAAGACCGCCAGGAAACTTCATACTGCTGATGAGACAAAGCCCGCAGGTGTGACACCATCAAAGAAGCCACCTGATCACCATACAGATGGTGATACACTAAGAGTCAAAAAAGACCAAATGTGAAAACTCGTGGAGAAGGTCGAACCAGTCACGCAACGGACCGGACTGATCTGCTGAAAAAGGCGGAGCTGCGGAAAAACCTCCGGGTTTGGACACCGAGCAAGCAGCACCTGAAACAAAGGCTGGGCCAACCACCATGGGGACCAAGAGGACTACTCTTCCCTGGTAAGTCTCCAAGCGAGCCAGGACCTGGAACAACAGCTTAACTGGGGGAAAGAGGTACAGGAACCCCCACCTTAACGAGTCCTGCCGAAAGGCATCGACTCCGACGACCTCGCAGTCTGGGAAGGGCGCCACATATGACGGAAGACGCCTCGATCATGCCGACCGACGCGAAGAGGTCCACCTCCGGGTGCCCAAACGTCTGGCAGAATCAACTGGACGAGTTGGTGTCGACCGTTCATTCTGTGGACAGGGGAATGAACCAGGACAGGCTGTCTGCCAGGAGATTGAACACATCCCAGACGTAAACCACCAGGAGAGCCAAACCCTGAGAACTCAGCAGACGAGTCACCCGAAGTGACCAGCCCCAAAGAGCCAAGGACCACATCGAACCCCCTCGGTTCAGGCAATGAACTACCAGGGAGCAGTCTGAATAAAGTCGGATCGTCGATCCGTAAGGTGAGCCAAACACTCCGAAGCAAAAACCACACTGCCGCAAACTCCCGCACCGTGCTGTGGGCCCAACGAAAGGACGAATCCTACCGCCCCTGGCCGGCCTGGTGAGCACTGGTCACAAAGCCCCAGCCGAGAGACGACGCATCTGTGAACACATTGAGTGAGGGCTCGGGTAGGCACCAAGGCACTGAACCCCGAAAAACTCAGAGGAAACAGGCGATGCAGCAGCCGACACAAAGTCCCCGGGGGCCAAACCCAGCGATCGCAAGAGAGGCGGAAGGGATGAAAGGAACCAGAACAGCCAATGAAGCGAAACCTGACCCGGCAGGTAAACTATCATCGTAAAGTTCAGACTCCCGCACAGACCCTCGAGCAACCCCTGTGTGACCCAGAAGCCCCCCCCCCCCCCGAAACAAGCACATGCAGGACCACACCCAAAGGAGAGACTCTGGAGGGAGAGACAAGGAAGCAATCCGAGAGTGCCACACAAGACCCAGCCAAGTCCGAACCTTGGAGGGGACCAGATAGGATTTCCGCCAGTTCACCAGGAACCTGAACCCTACAAGCTGGGAAAGAACCAAATCCCTGGCGAGCAGACACGTGTACTGACTGAGAGCCCAGACCAGTCAGTCATCAAGATAGGCCAACACCCGAACACCTCAAAGATGCAGATGGAACATCACAACCTGGGTGAGGTGTGTGAACAAGCAAGGAGCCAGGTTCAACCCCGAATGGGAGACAACGAAAGCGGTAACCAAGACACCCCACAACAAACCCGAGCCAGTCCCTGAACCCTGGATGAATCGGGACGTGCCAACAAGCGTCCTTGAGGTCCAGGGAAACCATCCAAGAGCCCGGCTCCAACAGAAGTCGAACCCGAGACAGAGTTGTCATCCGAAAGCGGGACAAGAAACCCAGGGGTTCATACAGGACAAGTTCAGAATGAACCGCAGGCATGAGGTTAGACCGCAGGCTGGCTAGACTCAATGATACTGCAGATGACCTGAGAAATGCTAGCCTTAGAACAAGGGACCCAGGAAACAGGATCAACCTACAAGGCTTCCACCGACACAGAAGTGGTGGCACGAAAGTAGCGATGGAGAGCCACCACCCGACACAAAACATGATGCACTCTTGGTCGAACCAACCAAGCATCAACAATCAACCAACTCCTTTAGAAACAAACCGACTCATTCTTCGCCAGAAAAGAAGGGGCCAGCTGGAAATGAACAAATAAACCCCCAGGACCAAAGAAACAAAAACTCTGGCACCAAAGAAGAGCATGAAGTTCACCAGTGAGGCAACTGGAAGCCAAATAGACTAGGAAAAAGAGTCTTGTAAAGCAATTTGAAATGGAAGGTGACACAATAAACCAAGTAGAAGACAGAAAACGGAGCACCTGGTCTAGAGACCAAACTGCTGGCTCCAGTGATGCAACCCCCAACATCTACTTCCATCTTCAATTAACACCATACTCACCAATCCATCATTATATCAAATGTGGAGAAACATCTGGACACTTGATGAGTGCCCATATTTATTGTTACTGTTACTGTACCAATATTTTGTGGTGTTTTGTTTGAAGTATCTAGTGAAACAATAATGTATTGTTACATACTTTTGTACATAAAATTATTATTTTTCGTACCTGGGGGAAATTCAACTACTTATCCAGACATGACTACATATCCAATCACAGTCAGGCCCCGAGGTGTACGGAAGAGAGAATGTTGAGTGTAACAGGAAAGAGAACCCTGAATAAAAACTGAAGTAGACTGCTGCAGTCAGATACATACAAATGACTGGGCACCAAGCTATGAAGTGAACACAAACTATAAAATCCCTGCACAGAGATTAAGTCTCAAGGAAAACTAGACAACTTAACTAAGTTAGCCTCTGCATATCTTGCATGAAGTAGGTCTATGCCAGACTTTGAGGAAAGTTTACCTACTTCTTAACCCCTGCACTGCACACCTGTTTTTGGCAAAAGCTTCATAGTGCAATTGTTAAGGACATATTTTTGTTGTTTTTATAAATGTTCAGGTAAACTTAATGCAAAATGTTTCCAAACTCAACCATTTGTATTTCAAAACACAAAGAGTGATGAAACATTAAAAAGCATTAAAATATAGCCTAATTAAAAAAAAAAAAAACTCAACTAACAGCATTTGTCGTTTTGCGCAGTGCAGTGGTTAAGACTCTCTTTGTGGTAGCTAGTGTCGCCATCTTATAATGGCAACAGTTATAGAGGGCAACAAAGGGTAGTTAGCTAAGTGGTTAGTAGAAGACATGTTTGGCAATCCTGGTGATTCCAAATCTTTCTTGAAGGGCATGACTATTTGAAAAGTTCCTTGTCATTGTGAAGCACAGTAAGCAGTACCCTGGGTGGACCTTGGCCATGGCTTGGGAAGTGACCTAGGATATACCCTTAAGGAATGTATGTAAACACTTACATGGAGAATAGAGCAACTGATTAATAAAAAACATGATATAACACAATGTATTATAAGTACATACTCAAAGGTATTTACCTGTCTTGAGGTTGGTAAGTTAGTGAGAGCATCATGTCTCCATAGCACAGGCTAGGGTTGAAACCTTTATGTGGGATAAGTGGGTCAGAGGACACTTCAGGACACTTAGGATGTGGAGAGTTCAGAGTGAGTATTTTGATGACGTGTCCTTGGGTGTTGAGAGTTGTCTCGGGGATCAGAGATATAAGTGGGATGTTCAGGTAACCTGTAAGTGTGTCGTCGGTCAGACCTGCCGTCACTTTCTCCTCCCGGTTCTTGAACTTATCACTGTCTCTACTTCTTTTTCTTTCTCTCTCATTTTCCTTGGACTTGATTTTATCTTTGCTATCTTTACCTTTATCAAAAGACCCAGAATCACTGTCTTGCTTTGATGAGGAAATGTTCCTACTCCAAACAGCAACATTAAGGAATTTGTTTTCCTCTTCCAACCAAAATTCGAAGTCACTATCAAACACTGGGTCCTGGAAATTTTAAGAAAGATTTCATTGAATCAAATAACCAGCGTTGAATGTAATGAAACGCCATTTTCTGGGTGAGACCCGGAGGCTCCCCGGAGCTTAACCGGCTGATATGCTAATGTCAGACTTTGGCATCAGTCATGTGTATGGAGTTCTAGGGCCTACCGGGGACCACGAGCCAGAACCTGGCCCCCTCAGAGAGGCAAGGGGAGCAATGGCCTATAGAAACCCCCGTGTGGTTGGAAGCATTCTATGTCTGCCATCGACCGGGTCAAGCATCCAGAAAGGTAAGCATTCCAAAACAAACCCCTATTCTGGTGAAAATTGCTACCTAAAGCCGAACTAGTGGATAGAACTCTTCAATAAAAAACAAGGAAACTAGCATGACGTCATACATCACCGCGCCGCTGTCTGCGCAGCTCCCCCCTCCCCGGGAGGGGGAAGGGGGAGCCCCAGACCTCCCACGCCGGCTATCCACCCATCAGTTCTGAGGCTGGATGTCAAAACACGCGAAAAACGCCGACCGGAGGGAAGGAGGGTTGCCGGGGAGCCTCCGGGTCTCACCCAGAAAATGGCGTTTCATTACATTCAACGCTGGTTTTCTGGGGGGAGCCCCGTCGGCTCCCCGGAGCTAACTACCCACAGAGGAAGGTCAAAGGGACAGAACCGGGAGGCTGACACCACGCACCCCCCAAGGAGGCGAGACAACCGGCAGCAAACGCCAACCCAAGGCGCCACAGCCCCGAAAATCCCGGGAACAACACGAGAACCACGAGCAGCAAGGCCACGTCGCCCAGACGGCAGCGAGAGCAGCGAAGCCACGAACGCCACAGGCATGAGGGAAGAACACAGGCAGCTTAGCCGCAAGAACACGGCTGACCACCCGGGACACTATCACCCGCGAACTGGGAAGAACAGAACCGGATCAACGCAAAACGCGCTCCGGACCCAAACGCCGTGGGCCGCAAACAACACGGAGGGCCGCCACACAAAAACGACACACCCCCGGCCCGACCAATGAAGCACCAACAAACCCTGGACCCCTCCAGAATGCAGCAGCCCCACCCCGCGCCAGAAAAGATGGAGACTGCTGCCACCAAACAACCAAAACGCTAAAACCGAAGGGGCACTACCAACCGAGGAGAAGACAGAGCACGCTGACCAGAGACCAGGATGGTGCAAGCGGCGCACGAACAGGCCGGAGGTGAAACGACGCACAAGACAGCTGACTAACGGTGCAGAAGCAACACCAAGACCGAAAGCAAGCTGAAGCGGCTCCGCCCGCGCCGCACGAAAAGAGGCGACAGTATGCGGCAAGACGACGGCCCCCAACCCCCACCAGAAAACCAAGCCGAGAGTAAACCAAGCCAACAAGAGTAACCACCTAAGAAGGGACAGGAAAAGGAAGGACCGCCAAAATACCCCATACTGCCGCCAAGAGAAGCACGCAGGTGGGACACCTACCACGAAGCCACCCGACCACCAACCGGAGGCGAGACCGCGAGGCAGAACATAAGCAGCCCCGACAAGGCCCCTCCGAGCCCAGGAAAAAGGCGGAGCCGCGGGAAGATCTCGGGCGCGACCACCGAAACCCAGGCGGTACAAGGAGATGGAACGTCTGCCGAACAGAAAATCTCCCCAAAGCATGCAAGCCCGCCAGGAGTTCAGAAACGACGGGTCCGACGTGAGACATCGCAAGACCCCCCCAAAAAAAAAACCAACCAGCAGGGCAAGCTAGGAAACCAAAGAAGGCGGAAGGGTCGCCGCCAGAACAGTACCCGAACCAAGGGGTACGAACAACTGCAATAGACCGAGACAAAGAAGCACATCACAGGACACAGGCTGACCAACACCTAAGAACACACGCAGAATATCCCTGCTGCAGAGGAGGCAGGAAGAAAGAGCAGAAGCACAAAAACCCCAGGAGAACAACCAGGGGTGGACAATCAGGCAGGGACAGAAAAACCCCCACGCAATCCCCAGGCACAAAACGGCAGCAAAGTGCCACTCCACAACCGGACACAGGAACAAGGACACGCCACCGTGAAACACGGTACCAATGCACACATGCAGCAGCAGCAACAGGCACCACTGCAACATGCAACATGTAAATAGCAACTCCCTTCTGCAAAGGCAGAGAACGGAGCAGGCAGACCCCAGACAGGGCCAACGGAGACACGACAAAACCCTGCAGGCCCAGAAACCTGCACCAGGCGACCGACGGCGGAGAAAACCCCGCTCGATACCTGCTGGATGAGGTACTGGGAGCTCTTTCACACCTCAAGCCCGGCCCAAGGCCAGGCTAGACCGGCCAGAGGGTGGCCCACCAGGCAGCTGCTAGGAGCAGTCCACCGGCCCACATACCCCCACAACCAGGACGGGCCGGAACTGCCATACGAAAACAGGCTAGTGCGCCCTGGAAGTCCACAGACGAACCAGCAAGAAAGCTTATGCTCGCAAGTAGGTCGTGTAACAAGCACAGACCTCTGATGGTAATACAGTGTTCCCCAAAAGTGCCAATAGCACCACTGCACTCCACTGGTACTATCCCGCAAGTTCTACCAGATAGGCTGGACCCAAGAGCCAGAGCTCAAATCCTGCAAGCACAGCCAGGAGCCTTACCAGATGAGTACAGAACCAACCCAACAACCCCCACACCTCACAACATTAAAAAAGGTGGGCCCCCTGAATGACTTAACTGGGAACCAGGACACCCCCGGCGCGAAGGGGCACATACCGCAGCCAGGGAGAAGAACGAGAGGCGAAGCACTGTAGCAAAAAGGGTACAAAACACCAGCACTAAAACACCGCCCAGACCAAAACAAACTCCACGGCGCATGCGCATAACACGCTGGCCGAACTGCACACCCTCCCAGCGGGAAGGCGCCAGCCAGGACCACTGCACGAGAAAAGTAGCCAAAAGAGGAAGCAGGAACAATAAAACCGGCCAAAGAAGCAAAGAGCCCAAAAAGGAACCCAACCGGGCGACTAGTAGCCCAACCGGGCGACAAGTAGCCCAACCGGGCGACAAGTAGCCCAACCGGGCGACAAGTAGCCCAACCGGGCGACAAGTAGCCCAACCGGGCGACAAGTAGCCCAACCGGGCGACAAGTAGCCCAACCGGGCGACAAGTAGCCCAACCGGGCTACTTGTTGGCACACGAAGGCGCAGGCGCACCCGAGATCAGAAGTCACGCAGAACCCCATCGAACGGGGAAACATGACGAAAACACCGTCCCAAAAAGGGGTGGGAGGAAACATCCACCCACAGTACGGAACCAACCGACTCAAAGGCCAAGGAACCGAGCCCGGGGAGGGGCCGACGCCCAACAACACGTACGGCGAGTGGGGAGTTAAGACCCCACTCCGCGTAACCACAAGCCCCGCCTAGAGGGGGATAAAAAAAACCCACGGGGTCTAATGGGGCCAAGGCCCCCAAGTCAGCCCCTCCCCAGCCCCGGGAACCTAAACGACAGGCCTCGGGGCCGAGCCGTTTCCCCAAAGCCCCGGCCGTACCAGAAAACCGGGGCAGCCGTGAAAACACTAAGGAAGGGAGCCCAATGGCAGACTCGTACAACACGGCTGGAGGAACAGGCTCAAATGCCCCCGTCACTACCCTGGAAGGGGAATTCCCCGAGACTGCCCGAGTCTCAACACCACCAAAAACCCCGCCCCGAACCTACAGACTGTAAGGAACCGGATGCAGGCAGGAAAGGTGATCCAGGGGAAAGACAAGGGGGCGTGGATGGAACCGAAGCAACCAACACCCCCAAGTCCCAAAACGAACTACAATGGGGCAGCCCCGGGGCTCCCGGGGAGGAAACCACGAGAACGTTGCCACCACCAAGGCTGAAGTGCAACGCCCCTGCTGCCCGCACCCGCTTTGTTAGCACAACTGGGTAACCGAGCCACAACGAGCAACCAAACTCGCAGGACTCCGGGTCGAAGGTGTCACCGACCCCACAGGCAGCAGACGGAGGCAAAACAGAGTGTCACCCAGAGACAAAGGGTGAGAGCAACCCTCAAACTCGCTGAAAGCGAGGGGGGAACTCTGGGGTCACATCCATCGGACCCGCGCGCCCCCTGGGGGTTCCCAGGGTCCCGAGCGTTTACTTTAAGAGGACTCGCGCTCAGGTAATCCCAGGCAGGGTACTGCTAACCGGCACCCAAAGCTACCAAACAACTTTCTAAGAGCTGAACCCCCGGGACGTGTACACTCACGGGGACCTAGCAGGGGTACCACCAGAAAATACTCAGAACACAAGGGACACAAGGGGCAAGAACGAAGGCAGACCCCCACCAGGTAGATAAACAAAAAGAAAAAGAAAACCCCGCAAGAGGACAGCGTACCCAAGCGGAACAGAGCCAGCCGCTATGATTGGTAAAGACAAGCTGCACAGTACCCTGCGCTCCACCAGTGCAAACACTGCCCCTTACTCTAAGGCGAACAAGGGAGACAGAACACCCGAGCACACAAAGAGCGGCCGAAAACCAAGCAGTAAATGGCCAAGCAGGGGCAGGACCCAAGGAACTTGTGGAAGGTGGCCCCAAGCCCCAAGGGCAGTACTTACAGGGCACCTAGGGAAGGGAACCCGAGGCGCATGCAGCCCGAGTACTGAAGAATCACTCCCGGCTCGCGCACCACCTAGAAAACAGACACCACACTCTAGGTACAGTGCTGAAACAACCACTGGAGCCGGAGCACATAACCATTGCCTAAAGCATCAGCCGAAGAACTGATGGTTGGATAGCCGGCGTGGGAGGTCTGGGGCTCCCCCTTCCCCCTCCCGGGGAGGGGGGAGCTGCGCAGACAGCGGCGCGGTGATGTATGACGTCATACTAGTTTCCTTGTTTTCTGTTGAAGAGTTCTATCCACTAGTTCGGCTTAGGTAGCAATTTTCACCAGAATAGGGGTTTGTTTTGAAATGCTTACCTTTCTGGATGCTTGACCCGGTCGATGGCAGACATAGAATGCTTCCAACCACACGGGGGTTTCTACAGGCCATTGCTCCCCTTGCCTCTCTGAGGGGGCCAGGTTCTGGCTCGTGGTCCCCGGTAGGCCCTAGAACTCCATACACATGACTGATGCCAAAGTCTGACATTAGCATATCAGCCGGTAAAGCTCCGGGGAGCCGACGGGGCTCCCCCCAGAAAATGCAATCATTTATAAATCAAAAAATATTATTTGAAAAAATATATTGGATTCATCTATTATACATGAAAATAATTAGATGTTTTAGAAGCTAATACAGTTAATCATTGTCATTAAACTATTTTTTACTTTTCAGAGAGAGGGAAACATCAGCCAGTAGGATATACAGGAAAAAAAAAAAAGTTACCAATAAGATACCCACCTATTTGCATACTGAATAGTATCATGAAGCCTCAGCACTGTTACACCTCAGAAAACCTTCCAAAGCAGTGTACCATAATTTCATTACTGTAGTTGTAAAGGGCTTCCCATGAGCTATTATTTAAAATGTTACAAATGTTACTCTTAAGTTGATTCCAGCTAATATTTTCTTTCAATCCTCACATTCTCACACATCATAACGGTCTTCCACTCCTCTTCCTCCTCATCTTCAGAATGATATATAGTAGCTGCGTTGAAGAGAGTTCAACAATGGGTAATAAAAATTATTCCAGAACTAAGTCGATTCATATCAGGAAAGGTTGAGGGCCATAGGGCTAACAACACTGCAAACCAGACATGACAGTGTTGATCCCATTGAAACTTAAAATAGTGAACAAGTTGGAGGATACTGAACCAGATAAATTTTTCAAAAATGTCAGATGTAACAAAAACAAGAGCAATGGTTTCAAGCTCAACAAGCCACAATGTAGAACAGAAACCAGGAGATGCTTTTTTTACCCATAGGGTTACAAACCCATGGAACCGTCTACCCATCAAAGCTGTAAATAGTAAAACACTGCTGAATTTTAAAATCCAGTTTGAAGAAATCATCAGAACAAATGGGGGACCTTCAACAAACCGCCAGCTTCCTGTCTTCGTAGATAGAAGGCATTACAAAAATAGTGGCCCTTGGGTAAATTCAGGTAAAATGAATTTAAATACACAGCTTTGAGAAAAAATACTACGAGTCGAAGGGGAAATTGTAAAAGAGGCAAGGACAGGAAGACCAACACCCAGTCAAGAGACTAGAATGGCTCAGGAGAAGCATAAGCTAAGAGATAAAAATACTGTATGTGATGAGACAACCGGCAGAACAGCGCCGAGGAAAAGTCAACAGTGAATACAAGCAACAGCAGCTCCACTAATGCTGAGTGATAAGAAATGATAGTATTAGGCATGAGGTGCTGATCTAGAAACAACCAAGACAAAAGGGTCAGGACAGCCTTGGCTGAAACCGACAAAAGACGACAAAGACAGATAATTAAAAACTGAGCACCAGCCAATCTCGTTATGCTGCTGTGAGGAAAGATGCAGATGGGACACCAGTAAACCAGACACTTACTTCCCATAGAGATGATAGTATTAGGCAATAGACGCACATCAAGATGCATAGATGCTCCAGATGCATAAAGCGGAGAAGGTCAAACCATCAAGGTACATCGTTAGGCCGATCTGCTGAAAGAAGCAGAGCCATGGAAAAATACCCAGTCACTGATCTAGAAGCAGTGGGAATCATGGCTGGGCTGGCCACCCAGGAGCCAGAAGGATCACCCTCCCCAAATACAACTCCAGAATGAATAGAACCTGGAACAACAACTGAACTGGGGTGAAAATGATAAATGCACCTCCACCTCTATCAGTCCAGTCGAAAGGCATCCACTGCAAAAAAGCTTTATGATCAGGAAACAAAGCCACGTAGGAGGTAAGGCACTGGCTCCGTGCTGACATGAGAAGATCCACCTTGGACCAATAGAACGTCTCACAGATCCAATGGAAGGACACATTATTGACTGTCTATTCAGCAGAAATAGAATAGAATTGAGATAACCCTCCTGCGAGAATGTTGACCGCACTCCGCTCATGAACCATAAAGAAAACCAAACCCTGCCAGTTCAAGTAATGACCCACAAGGAAGCAATTGGAGTAGAGCCAGAGCCCAGAGAAAGTCAAATCTTCCTCATGACACAATACTGTCTAAGTACAATTATCCGAACTATATGGTAAAAACCCTTCACTGAATAAGCCAGACGTCTGGATAAGCAGAATTCTTAAGGAAGTCCAAAAATGACCACATTCGCAATATTTTGTATGCCACCCAACATAATTTGAATTTCCACACACACACACACTTTAAATAAAAACAAGCGTTGAATGTGATAAAATGCCAATTTCTGGGAGAGCCCCAGTGGTTCCCTGAAGCTACCATCTACTAGGTGCCATCAGTTGTGGAGTTCTCTAGCCAACTGGGGACCCAGAGCCAGAACCTGGTTCTCTCATAAAGGTGCAGGTCATGGTGGCATTTATATATTAAGTTATTAATTTATGCCATAAACAAGGAAGGCACCCAGAAAGTCAGCGAGTCTAAACAAACTACAGCTGGCTGCCTCAGAGACTACAGGCTCAAAAAAATGGCCATACAACTCCCCAAACTATATAAACAAACGATTAAAAATGTTATAAAACTAGTGCCCACTCATTTGCCCCACCCTCTTCCTCATTTAGGGGGAGGAGAGGGCAGGCCATGACTCACAGGCCACTCCACTGTCAGTTTGATGAATGATGTAAGAACACAACTCCCTGGGGGAGGGAGGGTGTCTGGGAACCACCGTGGCTCATTCAGAAATTGTGTTTCATTACATTCAACGTTTATTTTCTGGGGAGTCTCTTGTTAAAGGCTGGGTCCATCTACGAAAAGAAGTTCAAGATACGCTGGTGCTGAAATATGTTCATACGAACCACTAAGACAGAATGCAGAGATGGAAATCTCCAAAAATACAACTATTCTAAGGCACCAAATGGGACTCATAATCAAACCCAGAGGGGAGTTTTTAATGATCATACACATACATTGAGATGGTACAAGAAAAAAAAAAGAGGGAAGGAGTTGAAGGGATACCCATGGACCCTCCTTGGGCTCCTCCTCCCAACCTGTTCTGAATAGTACAGTATATCACATTTTGAAATACAAGTTCCCTAAGGCCAAAAACCGATGTACAGGTACTAAAATGTTAGGGGTTAATGTCCAGTTTTCTGTTTCTGGGGCCTCATGTAGGTTAAGTTCGGGAAATTTAGCACAACAGTTTCGTGACAATGGGAATGCTCGGGAGAATGGGCTACCCCCACAGTCCTTGAAACTTGCCATAAAGGCTCTGGGGAAAGAGCCATAGTCCTTGCCCAACACAGATGGATGCCTTGAAACCCTGGCAGGATATAAAGATTCGGCTGCCTCTGCCGACATAGTGGATGGGACTACCCCTGAAGGTCACACTACACCCTGAGCTAAACCCTGACTTGACACTGAAACCTTTGGATACTTAAGAGCTGGAACTAAGGGGAGGGGGAGACCAGAGACCAGATCAGATTTTGAGGTTTGCCTGAAATTAAGGCAAACCACACCAGCAAGGAAAGGAAGAGGAGTCGCAGACTTGGTCCAGGTGGTCACAAATACCTCCAATTCTGGATCCGTAAACACCATAGGGGCCAACTCTGGGGCATTCTGATGATCAATATACCACAAATGCTTAACTCTAGCAAACTTAGGTAGCAAGATGGCAGCTGGTTGAAAACTTCCAAACCCATTGCCAAATCAGCAAATGCAAAGACACAGTGAGAACCAACCTGACAGGACTCAGGATCGTAGGTGTTATTGACCCAGCAGGTAGCAATGTGGAGGCAGAATGAATGATCATCATCATCAAGTAGCAAAGGCGAACACCCATCAGACTCGCATTCCGTTAGTTCCAATGAATCCCTTGTCCTGTGTGAATCATTTGTGGAGTTGTGTGGTGGTTTCAAGGCTTCATTTTCTGTGAACCCTTTAGTTGTCTGTAAAGCTTTGCTGACTTCTGGATGCTTTCCCAGTGGGATTGAGAGGTGTCACTTGCTCCCTGTGCCTCCGTGTGGGGGACAAAGTTCTAGATCTGGTACCCAGAAGACCAAACAGTTTCCATGATTGATGTGACCCATTAGCATGGAGCAATCTCAATAACCGAATTTCAGGAAGCCACAAGGGGGGAAGGGGGCTCTCGTATAAATGAGGCATTTCATTTCAACCAAGATTTTTTTATTTAAAAAAAAGTAAAAAAGTTATGAGGGGGGAAGGGGGGGGGAGTATGGAAATATGTTTTATTTTCAGGCTATAAAAGAGTTCCACATAAAACACACCGGTACAGTATTTAAATTTATAACAACATTTTTTTAATAAGTTGGTTTAAGTAATAAATTAAGAAACAAAAAACTTCTATACATTGACAAAATTCAAGCTATTTTCTGAACTTACACTATTTCCATCAACAAAGGGTGTCTGCAAGGTTTTCAAGAGTGATTTGGTTTTTCCTGTAAGTCTCCTCACTCCTCTTCTTTCTGAATTATAGACATTTATTATTTCTGGGGAGGTGGGAGTGCCTGCCTTGCTGCTTTGATTTGAATTTGGTCTCTCATTGACAAGTTGGCTGACTGGAAAACTCTGATTGGCAACGCTCGAACCTGGTGACTTATCTTGGCTGATCCCAGATAAAGGCCGTGGGAGGCTTTTATTTACTGTAGAAGTTACGGGAGATTTATCCTGGCTTGATACAGTTGATCGTGAATCTGTGGATTGTGTGTTCAAGTCCAAAAGTTTACGCTTCAATTCCGGACTACTGTTGTGGCTCGAGTCTGGTGTTGATCTGCCACTGCCACTAACGTCACCTGCAAAAACACACTCATGTTATGCATATATTGTAGGCAGGTCTACTGTATATATAAAATAATAACTTATAGGTGAATTGTATGTTTTTAGTATTATTAAGAGAAAACTAATTACTGTATTCACTATATCTAATCACATCTATACAGCATAAGGAAAAACAATCACTAGGCAATGTCAACTACACCAAAAATGCATTAGTACTACATTAACAAACTGAACATTATACAAACATAGCACAATGTAAAATGGTTAACTAATAAAACAAGACTGTGTGCATGTTTACCATCTCGAGTTGAGCTTATACGATTCCTACTGGTGCGCTGCAGGACAGGCGAGCCTGGCAGAGAGCGGTGTTTAGGTGGCCGGCCTCCGTTGAATGTCCCCATTATCCCAGCAAGTAAGTGAGAGGGGCTAACAGCACGTGATCCTCCAGGCACACCACCACCATCATCAATACCGCCACTGTTGCTAACTAATGAAACTCCTGAACCACCAATACCAACACAGGAGGTACCAGTGTGATCAATGCTTTTACTACTACCAACACCACAACTATTGCTACCCGTAATACTACTACCACCACCAATTGAGGATGAGGCCGTAGTTCTGGTTTCACTGCCACCACCTTGGCTACTGCTACTCATAACACTACTACAAGATACACTCCCTCCATCACGAGCAATGCCAGCATCACTAGTTCCAATGCAACCAGGGGTACCACTACTTGAGGTGTCTACCCAGGCACTAGAGGACTTTTCTCCACTATAACTACTGTTGGCAGTGCAAGGTGCGACAATGGACTGGCCACTGGAAGCTATATGGAGTCTACCTGAGGTATCCTCCCCGATAACTGGCGAAGCACCATCTGAACCAACGGCTTTTTGCTCGGCTACCACCTGGGAAAATTTGCTAAGTGTTAGTAAAGCAAATACTGCAAAGGTTATCAGCATACAGACAAGACTTTTTACATTTATGACAATGCACATTTTAAGGAATAAGTAAATAGTGGCCGAGGTAAAAAATAAAGAATGAATCATATAGGGGAATAAATGGAATGAAATGTTCCTTTTTGAGCTTGTCCCTTGGTTGTTCTGAGCCAAGCCTAATTTGCCTATCCATTCTATTGTACACACACCCAGCTTTGTTGACTTATCCCCCACCATTACTAGTATCTTCACAAGTGGTCTTGCTATGTAAATTGGCAAAGAAGACAATGCAGAATTCTCAATCTATAATGGAGTGATTTACATACTGTTAAACACATGAAAATTACCAACCACTCAAAACCTCCTGCAAGTGATCCTTGGAGTCACAAGGAAGTGAACATTGCTCTAATAACTACTGGTTAGAAATGCTGGCTATAACCATAAACTGCCACTAAATGGCAACCTGCCATAAGACAACAGGGTCAAGGGAGTAGGCTGCACTCGAAGCTCAGTCTAAACAAAACAAGGCGTAGTAGGTGAGGTCATAGCCAAGCTACAACCTGAGACAATGAGCCTCAAGGCAGGAAGCATGTTGGATAACAACCAGTGTGACCAGATCTCCATTCATGGATCATCACTTTGCATGGACTTTCCATGCACCGAAGAGGATGGAGAGACAAAATGAGTACAGTAAACAAGGATCTCAAGGGCACTTGGCAGTGGTTGGAGGTAGCATGAGGAAGTAATGAGTCTGTTGAGCTCAGCAGTTTCTAAGTGGATTTCTAGTCTTAGTTATGTGGTGTTTGGATTTGAAGGGGAAGATGGGTTGATAATGAAATAAGTTGAGAGTTAAGAGTTTTAGGTTAGAGCATATATATAAATCAGTGAAGTTAAAACTGTGGAAGTTATTTTGTGTGTCTAAACCTTATTTCTGTGTCAAAGATAAACTATGGACTTACAGTTGTCCTGGGTCAAGTTACTTTTCACAAAAATAAATGATCAATCACTTTGTTTTATTACAGACTGAACAAATACTGTTCATTTTTATACCTGACATACATCACTTAAACAGTAGTCAAAACCCCAAATGCTATGAAGGTATCTATAGAAACCCAGTTCCAAAACAAATTGAACTGGAAGAAATGCAACCTGACCAGCATAATTGTCAAACGAAGGCCGAGAAGAACCATAAGGTAAGTAGGCCACACAATTCCCCTGCATAGCCAGGAAAACTGCCTCCTCACTCTCACCTCTGTCACTGATAGACGCCTCACGACACTACTACACTCCTCCAGGACCTTCATTCATCATCAATATGTCCATGAAAATTGAGCTCACGCAAGTCTAGACACTAGTATAAACAATACTCACAGGACACACCCCATACCACAGGTGAGACATCACAGGTGCACCAGCTGGTGGGTGATTATAACCTACAAACTGCTCATTATCCTTCCAGTGACTTGTTCCAGTCAACCATTGACAAAGAATGTGACATCACCATCAGGGGTATAAGTACACCTGGCCTCAGCCGTCAAAGTCAGTCTCTCTTTGGGTGCTCAGGCATCACTAAGCTGGCACAGTGCTAGCCTGCTTCTCCAGACCACGCTTCACGTCCAGGTTGTAGCGTTTTGTATAGTGTAATCATTTAAGTCACAAGTGTTATTTTCATTGTTAACGTAAACTTTCATATGTTTTTTGCTATTGTGTATTTGCCAAGTATTATCAGTCAGGAGTTTTTGTAATTCAGATGTTATTTGTTTATCTTTATTATAGAGCAAATTGTTATATTTTTGGTCTGAGTTTACTTCTACACTTGCCCATTTCTCACACTGCAAAAGCCAATGAATTTTTCTTTTTATTTAATTAATGTGTGAGCCACATTCCATCTGCCTGGTACAGCAGCAGTACCATTACACATCACACAGCAAACGAATAGCACAACTGTGCAAGGAAGACACTAATGGTGGTGAAGACACACTTACCTGATGAAAAAACTAGAGATGGAAATTGCAAAAAAACCTTATGGTCCGATGTCTTCTGCATTCAGTTTGAGCCATCTTTCTGACTACTCAAGCAGTTAGCTCCTCACTCAAGGATCTGCGCTTCTGTCTCTGATCAATGATCACTCATCTTTTAATTGTTCTATTTCTGCTGTGCTCCTGGTCTGGCTCTGCTGGTCTCAGGAACCCTTTGACCCAAGGAACCAAGCCCCGAATGCAGCAAGGGCAAATGACTCTCAACAAGAGGAGAGAAAATATATGGGCGAAGTAAAACAATGTTCCACCAAAAAACCAGCACTGAATGTAATGAAACACCATTTTCTGGGCGAGTCCAGGAGGCACCCCAGAACGATACCGGGCTGATATGTATTAGACTGTGGCATCAGTCAATTTGAATTGAGTTCTAAGCCTACAGAGGACCATGAGCCAGAACCTGGCCCCCTCAGCAAGGCACGAGGAGCAACAGCCTATAGAAACCCCCATGTGGTTGGAAGCATTCTATGCCTACCATCTACCTGGTTAGGTTAGGCACCCAGAAAGGTAGGTGTCCCAAAACAAACCCCAACTGGTGAAACATTGCTACCAAAAACCGAACTGTTAAGCAGAACTGCTCAATCTGAAAACAAGCAAACAAGCATGACGTCACAGCTGCCACTCCGCCACCTGTCTGTGCAGCTTCCCCCCTCCTCGGGAGCGGGAAGGGAAAGCCCCAGACCCCACGCCGGCTATCCACACTCAGTTCAGAGGCTGAATGTCAAAAAACGCGAAAATCTGCCGACCGGAGGGAGGATTGCCAGGGAGCCTTTGGGACTCGCCCAGAAAATGGCGTTTCATTACATTCAACACTGGTTTTCTGTGGAGACTCCCTCCGGCTCCCTGGAGCTACCTAACTGAAGACAAGTAAAAGAGGGACGTACCTGGGAGGTGGCCGCCATTCGTGCCTAAACTTGAAGTCTAGACAACTGGCTGCAACCTGCGACCCAAAGTGACACACGCCCAACTAGGACCAGGAACATTAACGAGGTAACGGGCGACCAGAACCCTGTTCGACCACCAAAATCCCCACTCCCAAATATTAGCTTACTCGATTTAACGGCCTTTTATTTACCATTCTGCTAGTTCCAACAACCGGTTTTGGCGACCGGTATCTGGAGCCTCAAATACCTGTCTGGCAGTCGATAAAACAATAGGTCGGTATTGGATATGTTTTGGCATTGGCGCACCCTCACATGGAAAGCCACCACTGCCCTCGATCATCCAGTCGTAAATTAAATCTTGACTTTTTTGGTAAAATTATAGTTTAATGAAGCAAATTATAAATTATTATTAATAACACATTTGGAAACAATTGTTATTAAGCAAAATTCTTTATTTTCTTATTATACCTTTCATAGTATAGGCACTAGGTATTTTTTTCCACAGACATGAATGTACTGTGTTGGGCCATGTGTCCTGATTGTTTACTGTGGACTTACATGGCTAGTTTCAATTCTGAAGGACATTACTGTCTCAGAACATTAACCAGAGATAAACAGAATAAGACAAAAATTGATTGTAAGAGAATGGTCTCTCAAGATTCTCCCACAGCTGACTTGAATGGCTCATTGCAGTGCACAGTGCACCGATCTTCATGCACAAGCCCTATCTCTGTTAACCCTGGGTAATAAACTGGCATGTTGGGTATCTACAGAATGCCCACTTAACCAGGAATACGTTTATAATACAGAGGCCACCGTATGTCTAGGCAGGAAGTAGATACAGGGAAGTTAAGCATACTGGCCATAGGGTCAAAGTGTACATTGGCTGGTGCCAGCGTGAGAGAGTAGAGAGACGCCAGCGAGGCGACAGGACAGTCTGACCCTGAGGTCAACCTCAACCGGCGCGATGGAGAATAACAGCTGTGACGTGGTCGTGACGTGTTCATGACGTCACCTCTGCTACTGATCAGGGAACGACCAATATGATTGGTTCCCGCTCATTTGCTGCAATGCTATTAGTCAAATTGTAACCCTTTGTGTGTCCCACAAGATGCCCGGAGCCCCAGGCAAGAGCATTCACGTGAGGAAGCCCTTGCATACAGGACGTGTCCTGTTCTGTCTATCGGCCAATAGACTGAACACCGTCCATTCCTCACCGTCAAGTTAAACTCAGCATCTTTTCGATATACCAACACTTGCCGTGAATCGCAACTGTGACTATATTGTTTAGAAGCCTATAGTGACAAATCACCAGAGCAAAACAGACTGGTATCAGGTAACCCTTGGTGACAAGTGGAGATCGTCTGTGAGTGACCTAGAGTGATCTAAGGCAGTGCCGCCGCCTAAATAATCTGTGTGTGACTTTTCCACAAATGTACCTGCACGGTACCATATAGCCAGCCGCCATTCTGTCCCGAGCGTGTAGCCCACCAGCCGCCGCCCTCACTGTACTACGTGACGTCACCACCCTTACTCACCGCCAGTGCCATCAACTGTGTGTGTGTCTGTGTGTTAAGCATACAGCTCGCCCTACTGCGAGTACCCTCCATGTCAACGAGCAGAACGAGCTGTCAAGCCACCTACGAGTTCTTGCATAAATGTGCCTGAATGAGTGAGTGAATAAGAGAGGTACCCTACAAGCAGCTTTACTCTTATCTAGCTAAACACAATATACTTAGCTCTTGTCAATATGGCTTCAGACCCAAAAAAAGCACTAACGATGCACTTATTAGTATGATTAACTTGATTCACGCAGCTCTTGATAAAAAGGAGTTCCCTGTTGGGTTATTTGTGGACCTGCGTAAGGCTTTTGACACTGTCAACCACCAAAACCTTCTTCTTAAATTACATCATTATGGAGTCAGAGGACACTCCCTGCAATACCTCAAATCTTACCTTACTGACAGGCTCCAGTGTGGGTCTGTGAATAATTCAATTTCTCCCACCCTACCCATCAACATTGGTGTTCCTCAGGGCAGCATACTTGGCC